TGGCTGAAACAGGGAGGAGCTTAGTGACCCCCCAGCCCAAGAGGATGGCTGATTCCTCCGGCTTGGCCCCACCCCTCCCCGGAGGTTTCTCTGTAACCCTGGACACTCCATCTCATTCCAAGAGCTGCCACCGCTCCAGAGGTCCTTGTCCATCCCCGGGTCTCCATGCACCTTTGTTTATTTGGGAGAGAAACCTTTCTCTGAAGCCCCCTGGCGGTCCCTCAGGTCCTGGTGGCTGTGAATGCTGTCCCCTGCCCATGTGACAGCAGGCTCACACAGTGGTACTTCTGAGTAGAAGGCTGCTCATGCCAGCAGGGAGAGAGGAGGGAGCTGGAGGATGACTATAGTGTAGGCTGCCGACAGTGGCTTCTCCAGGGGACGCTGATGAGAATACAGCGGTTACTGGGTTGTTCAGAGCACTCGGGATCAGGTGGGCGGAGGTGCAAAGCGGGGTACCTATGGGGGGCTCTACCCCATTTACTTTATATCTTTGTGCAGATGTTTGTTTAAAAAGAAAATGTGAATGCCCTGGTAGGGTTTGTGGGTGGGTGGGGGGGCTTGTCCTCTGCAGTGTGGCCTCGGTCTCCATCCTGCCCTAAAGTCTTATAGTTACTTCACTCATTTTGCTTCTGCCTGGTCCCTCAGGGCATTATTACATTTGCAGGCCCCATGATAGAGCATTGTTCAACTAGTTTATTTGTACATTAGGCAATCAGAGCATGGTCATCTTAATTAAAAAGAAAGTTCTTTATTTTCTCAGTGGATTTAGGCGTGAGTCAGGGAGGTTTGGGTCTAGGTATTCCAGCCCGCCCTCCTCAGGCCCCCCTCTTCAGAGATCCACCGTGAGAGGCATGGGCTGGCCTTGGGACGGTTACCTGGCCCCTGGCCGTGTCTTGTGCCTGGAGTTGCCTTTGGAAGGTTTGGATTTCTCTTTAAGGCGCTAGAGCCTGTATGGTTTGGACACTGTCTCCTTTGCAATATGGACACTCTCAGATGATTAAAAAGCAAACAAACAAAGAAACAAAAGTCCTCCATTTTGGTGTCTAGGTCCTGTGTTCACAGGCCTGTGCAGTTTTTATTCTCCTTGACGTAAGTGTGCTCGTTAACCTGAAAACCGTGGACATGCTACAGGAGTCCGTGTGCAGCACCAATTTCTTTTCTTCTTTTTCTTTCTTTCTCATTTGTTTCCTCAAAAAAAAGAAAAAAAATCCAATTGCTTTCTTGCCTTAAGATGTAAATTCCACATTTTGGCTGCATTGGATTCCAAGTTTTCCGAGAAAAGGCTTACATTTATTAGGTTAGTTCACAATGTTCCCTCAGAGAACTTTTACTTTGCGGCGTGGAGCCATATGTGGTTGGGTTGTTTTAAGATAAATAATGAAAGGCAATCAGCATTACATCGTTTACAGAAACTCCGGCTGTGCCTGTCCCTTCGGTAATTGTCACTCGTGATTCTGTGATTCGCAAGCTTAGTCCAGGGCAGTAGGGATGGAGCTGGGGTGTAAGGTCGCGCTGATGTTTCTGCAGTTTGGTTCAGCATTGATGGCGCCTCTGGGCCAGTGCAGAGTCAGACCGTGCTGTGGGGCCCTGAGCAGCCTCTGGGAAGCCTGCTTCCATTGGGAGTTATTCCCCATCACCCTGCCAGGATCTGGCTTCTCCGCAGCATTAAAGAGTAGAAAGCGAATAACAGGTTGGATCACAAACAAGCCTTTGCATGAGATGGAATCTCAGCAGCGCAGGAGCCTTGGTTTGGTTATGTCACTGGCGATAGTCAACATTTTTTTATATTTACCTCTAAAGAGGGGAAACAAAACTGAGAGGGCCTCTTTTGGAGATAAACATCATGCTTTCTCAGTGTCTAACTTGGAACATGTTCACGGTTATATATGTGCATTCGTAGATGTATCCATCCACCTACAGATATGTACACATATAACGCACACGTGTAAACACACATGCAGGCACTGATGTGAATGTAAACTGCGGACAGCAGAAGGTGATTATCACAGTTCACTGCCGAACACTGATTCCCAGATGCTTGGATTTCATGAACTAGGGACATGAAATATAATAAAGGAGGGGGGCCAGCACGAATTGCCAACTTCATGTTTTCCAAGGTCATTAAAAAATTGTTTTGGTGATAGACGCTAACTAGACTTACGGTGGTGATCATTTTGCAGTAGGTACAGCTATGGAATCGTTATGTTGTACACCTGTAACTAATATAATGTTATATGTCAATTATATCACTATAAAAACATTTTTTTAGTTGTAAAATACACGTAACATAAAATTTACCATCCCACCCATTTTTAATTGTACAGCTCAGTACGGTTAAGTACATTCATGTTGTGCATCCAAGATCATTTTGCAAGAAAAAGAGCAAGACAGAAGGGCACCCATTTACCATCCTAATCATTTCTTAGAAGAAAGAGCATTTAGCACCGAAAGGGAAACAGGAGAGGAAGGCTGGCATCTTGATGAAGGAAATTCCTCCCACATCTGCGGTAGAACGGCACAGAGAAAAATAATCGTTCATGGAAAAATAATAGTGCAGAGGGAAATATATAGCAAAGAGCTCTGTGTAGCCATTACTCGGATTTTTAAAATGCTAACCTTTTGGTTTAGCAGTGTATACAAGTGTCGAATCATCACATTGTACATCTGAAACTAATATAATGTTGTCTGTCAATTTTATCTCAATTAAAAAGTGCCGGGGCTTCCCTGGTGGTGCAGTGGTTGAGAGTCCGCCTGCCGATGCAGGGG